AATATAAACATTTCTAATTTAGGTTGTCAGTGCTATTCCTGTTACTTTGTAGCTAATTTCTTCATGGCATCAGTCAAATCTGCCATATTGCCTTCTTTAGATTGTTCATGTAAATCTTCGTTTTGATTTTTATCATGTTTTTTCTCAGGTGCTTTATATTTTCCAAAAATTTCATGTAAATCTTCCTTTTGTTTTTCTACATTATCATCTTTTCCTTTCAAGATTTCTTTGTCATACATTTTTTTTATCTCCACCATTCTGTTGTCAACAATCGTCCAATTTATATACATAAGATGTACATCAAATACTGAATACTCTCCGCCAAAACAATCCGTAAGATTAATTTTACCTTCTCTGGCAAGAATTATTGATCTTGCATGACTAACAGCTATATTTGTATCAAGTTTATCATTATCAGTGAGTGGTAACCATTGAGGTATCTCTTTGAAAAATGACAAATAGCATAATTCATTGATAAATTGACAAAAATTTTGTAAATATTTATCAGGCTTATCATTTCGAATTTCTCTAAGTTCATTTACTGAGATTGCAGTTCCATCTTTACTAAAATTTATTAATAATTTAGTAAGCTTTTTTTCATTGTCTTCTTTACAGTTGTTATGGTCTACAAATTCTTTAATTTTTGTATTAATTTCCTTATATGATAAACAACCACCATTTGTAAAATCAACTCCACATGGTCTCCTATTAGGATAAACATCATTCACTTTCTCCTTACATATTACTTCAGACTTTTCTCCAAAGTTGATTTTTACCGTCGCATATTCTTCTTGTTTTGACTCTGTATAAATTAAATATCCCTTTCCATTCTTGTTTGTATAATGCTGAAAGGGTAAACCATTTTGTATTGATGATTCAATAGCAAAGAAGGTATATGCATTAACTCCTTTTAGAGAAGTAGCTTCAGAGCCAGATGACCTTCTTGCCTGTATTAAACTTTCGATTTCATTCTGATAATCGTTACATGCATTTGTTTGTTGCAGTTCATCATTTAAATTTCGAAAGGTATAATCATTCCCATTAGATGCCATTTTAAAGTCCAAATAAAGAAGGCAGAAATATGTAACCACTGTATAATATTATTTATGATTTATCAAGTCCAATCTGTATGGTTATTATAAGAATTATGCTTTTAACCACTGCAATAACCATATATACATCAAAGATGATGGTTGAAATTATAACCATTTTATAACCACAAAATTAGGGTTAGGTTAGGTTAGTTTAGGTTAGGTCTTGGGGTTAGGGATTAGCACAATCAGTACAGACTGGTAATCCCAAAAGTGCACACACACTTATAACCAGGGTTAGGTTTTGTTTTGGTTGGGGTTGGGCCACTCACAGAACTATTAACATAAGAGCCCTTGTGTATAGTATAGGTTAGGGTTTGGTAAGGGTTATGGGTTAGGCCACTCACACAACTCTGGGTTAGGGTTACACAGGGGTCCCCAAAAAAATTTTGAGTTCATAAGTTATGGAAATATACAGTTTTGTTTGCTGATTATAGATCTGTAAAAAATGACCTAAAAATGTTTTTAGTTTGGCTGTTGTTTTTTAAAAACGTTTAAAAAAAAGTACTATCATTCTATAGAGAAAAAAACTCCAACTTCTAATAGCTTTTTTAAGTTGATTTTTGGTATGAAGATGTAGTTTGGGCTTATATAAGTTTTGGTGAAAAGATATACCTAATAATGTTCTTTGGTTACTCATTGTTTTTTAATAACTTTTAAAAAAAAATTCTATGTTCTAGGTCAAAATTTAGGTCAAAATTTTTTATTGATGCAGTTTGAGTGTTTTGTTGAGATTCAAGCTCATACAAAATTTCAGGCGATTTGGGGTAGTATTAACAAAGTTATGGTTGCCGAAAGTTCGGTAAAATGGTTGGAGTCTGGACTTTGAAAAATTTTGAAAATTTTTTTTTTTTTAACGTTCTGTATTGTTTGTTAATAGGATCTTTGACTAAGGAAAAGTCTTTATTACGTTTTTATTACAGGCATAGATTAATTTTGTGTCTTGAATATTATTGATAATAGCCACCTGGTGGACTTTGTTAGAGTTAGCCACCTGGTGGACTTTGTTAGAGTTAGCCACCTGGTGGACTTTGTTAGAGTTAGCCACCTGGTGGACTTTGTTAGAGTTAGCCACCTGGTGGACTTTGTTAACATTAGCCACCTGGTGGACTTTGTTAGTATTTGCCACCTAGTTGACATTGTTTGTATTATCCACCTGTATGAAAAAATACACCAAAATCGACGTTTAAAACAATTTCCAACAGAAAAAATTTTTCAAAAAATTTTCAAAAAATTTTCAAAAATTTTTTTCTTAAATTTTTTTCCTACCTACTTGACCTACCGTGGTTTCGTCCCCCTCTCTATTAAATTTTAAACCTGGGACTCTTCAGGGTCTACTAAGCTACATGAAAGAGAGGTTTGAGAAACTTAATAAGAAGTTTCTCTCCAGATTTTTGATTTATTTATTTGTTTGTTGATAAAGATTCTTGTGGAGTAAAATTTGGAATTAAATTAAAAAATAATTAAAAATAAATAGGCCTACAGTTGGACGGAACCGAGGCGTCCAGATCCTTCTTGGGGATCATCATGGTACGCGGTCTTTTTAAGCAGTAAGGGACCTGTCCGTGGTGCCAAAAGAGTCTCGAAGGCTCGAAGTAGGATGCCCTTACAGTCAAACTTCTTGATGTCCTTATAGGTAATTCCGTCCATGCCAGGAGCAGTGTTATTGGTGCGCTTCAACTGGCCAATAATCTGGGTAAAGTACACGGGTGGGCTTTTTTGACTGAAGTCGCCTTATTAACAATAAGAGGAGGGGGAGACCGTACTACTGTCGCATACGAGCCTTTTGGTAGGATAGGCGAAACAGAGGTAGAGGTAGAGGCGGTAGGCCTAATATTAATTCGTTTCACTGTAGGCTGAGACGGAGCGGGAGATTGGGATGGCGTAGTCCCATCCGAATCCTCTAAATAGATGGACGAAGGGTGGCCTTTGTGGTTATGGCTATAGTGCCTCCTAACAATGCCAATCGAACGGAAAAATTGATCGCAAGGGTGGCACATAAAGGCCACCTGTTGACTATATAGTGACGTAATATGGGCAGTAATTTGGCCTGTATTGCCCGTGAAATTGTTACACGTCGGACATATCCTGTCCAAAAGTGGGTAGATCAATGATACGTCCGTGGGAAGAAGAGATGTGATACGCCAGTGATACAAACGCAAGGTGTTAGCCTACATTGACACTGCGCGATTTTCTCACGGTCTACCTTGGCCGTTGACCTAGTTGTTGTGGCAGTAGCCGGTTGAGGCCTATTCGCGGGCGAGCACACTGTCGCACGGTCTACATTGGCCGTTGACCTAATAATGTATTTTAAACTTAAATTATCGTAATCTTTATTAGTAGACAACATGGCGGACCCCGGCGGAGGAGGAACAAGAGAAGAGGAAGAATCCCCATTCAGACGACGGCGCTCCGAATTATAGAATGTCTGATTAGGAATTTTAATAGGAGCAGTGGAGGACTTGTTCTTTGCCACCAGAGAACGGGTATAAATGGGGGAACGTTCTGGAACAGATTTGGCGGAAGGAGACACAGAGGGAGGACGAGAGGGGGAACAGACACACAAATATGGCCGCCAGAAACAGCTATACTCACCCTCGATGATAGAGGTTTAGGTGGTGGGAGGAGAACAGGAGAAGTGGTAAGAGAGGGAACAGGAGTGAGGGTGGTATTCCTAGAGCACAGAGCAGAGGCGGTGGTGGGGAAAACGGTAGAGGAAGAAAGATTATCCTTAACACACGCAATTGGCACTGTCACTGTCTTCTGTCAAAGCGCCATCTATCGGGCTTGTGTCCAGAGCGGTGTCCCGGAGACTGGAACCATCCATCGACCGAAGCGCCCCCTTAGAAAGGAGAGGACGAGGTAGTATGTAAAATTTAACGTACGCCACCTTTTGACAAGGGGCAAGGTTGGAGTTGATGACGGTGTGAGCGACAATGGGGTAAGTATCCTGAAAAGATTTTCGTTCTCTCCATTGTTCTTTTCAAGAGGAAGAACGGCAAAATAGAACTCTATATAGATTGCAGTTGACTGCACCTGGACGGTGGTTGATGTAACAATCGCGTTCGAGAATAAACCACAAGCTTTTCATGAGAAGAGAGAAGAAAGAGCGTTTACATATTGCGTAACAATCGACGATTGTGACTCATTTTTAACCAACCCCTTTTTTCGAGGTATAATTACTAAAACTGGATTTTTTAAAAGAAAAACAATTTTTTGATAATTTTTTGTAAAGGATATTAGTTTATACATATTAATCATTATTATTACCAATTCAAAGTAGTTATTCAGTATATCTTAATATGAAAACTAAAAATTTTATAGGGTGGCTGGGGACTTTTTGCCTATACTGTATATAGGCACACCTCGAATTCTGATAGGCCAATTTGTAATTAACAGTTAAAAATGTTTGTTTATGGTAAAGTATTTTTGTTTGTCTAAATTTCTATAGAAAAAGAGTTATATTTACATAATATTAAAGAAAATTAGACAAAATCATCATATTTTGTAAATATTATTAGCAAAATATTTTTAGTAATTTTCATAAGTTTTTTCTTTATTTGGCCAAACGACACAATTATTGGCACATTTACTTGACATCAGGTTTGGCATTCAAATAGACAGCTCAAACATCTTTTTTTCAACTTATTTGCTTTTTTAAGTTAAATAAAGAAGCTTTCAGACAGAGAGATAGCCAGGATGAAAAGGATCATCAAGAAGCTGAAAGATAATAAGGAAAGGGTGACAGCAGCAAAGATTTTGAAGGAATTAGAAGTAGATGTAAGTGTTAGAACCATACAGATGGAACTAAAAAGGCAAAATTTTAAATACAAAAGAATCAGGCAAAGAACAGATCTCACCTCTAAAGATTGTAAATGGAGAAAAGAATATTGCCTCAAAATGATTAGCGAAAATCTAGACTGGTCTAGAGTAATTTTCACTGATGAGGCTAGATTCTTGCTAAGTGGACCTAATGACTTTAGAATGTGGACTAACAATAGCAAAAAGAACTTTAGGGTGATGAAAAATATGGGGAGAGGTGAAGTATTGGTCTGGGGGTTGATAACATCTGATTGCATATTCAAAGTATGGAGGATAAAGAAAAGATTGAATGCAGAAATTTATAGCTCCTTCATTGTGGAAGATGTTCTTCCTGCTATAGAAGAGATTGAGACAAAAATGGGCAGGAAGTATATCTTCCAGCAAGATAATGCTGGCTGCCATACAGCAAGAGCAACTGAAAGGGCCTTTAACCCTAACCCGATCGAAAATATGTGGCACCTAACAAAAACAATGGTCTATGATGGGCCACAGTTCGAGTCAGAGGTTGAACTGTGGGAAAAGATTAAGAAGTGCAGCTATGAGCTTATAAAGAAGAATCCAGAGTTGCTTCCAAATTTGTATGATGGAATGGGCCATAGGATTAGTAAATGCATTGAAAGAGAGGGTCGAGGTGTGCTTATATATACATGTCATTTACTTTATTCAACAGTTTGAAAAAGGTTGAAAATACAGTCTGACTATTCATATATTCTATGAAATGATTAGACATCTTTGTCGGCTAAGAGATTCATGAATTTGTCCGGATCGAGTAGAAATGAGTACAAAAAGAATTAAATGAAAAAAAGGTAAAACTTTATTTCATAAAAGTTGTTAATTAAGGTTTAGCTTTTCAATTATTTATAGAAAATAAACTTTATATTTATATAAATATTGTCTGTGTTTGTTTGTTGTTTGTAGAGAAGACGAACTTTTACCAAACAGTCAAGTAATTTGAGAGAAGAAGGCCATCTCCAATATTACACAGTTTTTACAGTTGTAGAAAAGAGATGATGACTAACTTAATCAACTTCTTCTGAAGACTCTCCGCTCAAACAACACAAAATACATAGACAGCAGTCCAAAATGTCAAGGCATTCATCCATTTTCTTTACTTGTAGACGTGTCCTGTTCAGTTGCAGCAGACTTCTGACGCGTCCCGAAAGTTCGCTTTATCATATTTATAAGCTTGTGACAACAAATACTGTCTTCTTAGAAACGGTTAATTCCTATTTCTTTTTCTATTCTGGAATGTTAAGCCCTTCTTTTCTTTTTGGTTTCGTTTCTAAAAGTAGATTTATAAGTCTCTTTTTTCAAATCGGCTATCAAGTCAAAAGAGATTTTACTTTATTTATTCTTCCGTTGTGTATCTGCGTAAAGATTTATTATTTTTTACCTTCTTTCACTCGAGTTGAATGAACAATGAACAACCCTGCTCTGCCAAAAAGGATTAGCTTAATAATAGTTTAGCCATAAAGCAAACTTAGTCTTCTCGGTACATTCGTCATAATTAAATTGACGGAAAGCGAGAAAACGATGATAATCGTTTGTCAAAGAATCAATAATCCACTTTTACCCAGAAAAAAGTTGTTGAGAAACAAAGCATTTTCTACGATGACAATAAAAAGTGTACAGTCATGGTTCATTTGCAAACGGGTTGTTTGTCTATATTGGAGATACTATAGAATGTATCTAAATTTAAATATGATATATGTACAGTATATACTATGCAGTTGGGCAAATCAATGTTGAGACTTTCAGTCAAATACCGTTCAAAATAATTGATTAATGTAGAAGATAAAGAGATTAATAAACCTATCCAATTGTTTTTACTACCTTTGGCTTTTATGTTCATTTGATTTCTTGGAAATGTAGATAAACTAACCTATCTATTTTGCACCTAAATTGGACAGGGATAATCCATCAATAAATAAATATATCTTTTTTCAATAAAGATAATATTGATATAATGATTCAACAATGATGATCAAGTTTTGTTAGTAAATTAATGTGTAATCAAAGACGATTGTTTCTACTTACATTTACCGAATACATCAATCTCTGTTATACTTTCATCGTCCTTTCCCGAAACTTTAATGAGGTTTGTAATAATACTCAAATTCTTGACGCAAACGCACTCTAATCCCTTAAAACCACCGTTTAACATGTAGATTTCTATTGTTCCATTGGAGGCGTTTACAACTTCAACTGTTAAATCTTTTGTTGTTGACGGATGGACAGCTGTTGAAAAGAAATTTTTTTAACATAGAAACTATCGACGTTGTAGAAAAAACAACAAACCGTTCATGCAAAATGAATCGATTAAGGCGGTTGTAATTGTTATTTCGAGGTAAGCGTTAGTTTTTAATTCAACGCTTGTTGGTTCTTCATAAATACCGTTTGTAAGTTGAGATGTGACGTCATTTCCGTCAACCTTAATAGATTCTACCAGTAGTTCTTTACCTTTAAAAGTACAACCGGTATGATAAATGAATTAGTTAGTCCTACTACTGTTCTACCTATTCTCCCTCCCAATGAAATATTGTCGTAATAGCCGTAGATAGAGAGTTCCGTAATCTCGAGATGATATGTGCTCGTTGCGGGTGAGTTTTGAGAGATGACCAGATATCTTCCAGTTATGATACCATTTACGAAAAGTCTATGAGTTTCATAGGCTACATAAGCCGTTGAACGGTAGTTATTGGCCAGATAGATGTCGCCCGTAGAGAATATAGTTTCTGGAACGCTACTTATTGAAACGTAAACGTTTGTAAATTTTCTATTAGAATCTGAATGAAAACGTGGGAATTATGCTAGTACATTTGTATCACTTTAATAGACTTACAATCGGTTGCCGAACCAACAATAAAAACTCCATTGATTTTGATTTGTTTACCAAAATCTATACGGAAATATCTATATAAAGATCCAGTTTTTAGCCAAATAGACTGCAAATTGAAATCGTTCAGCTTGCCAATATCTAGGTCATGCGGAAAAGTCTTGAATTGAGTGATATTGAGGAGTTGACTAGCTGAAAAGGGATAAACAATAATGAGGCAATGTTTGTATAAAAAGATATAAGCAAATAGAGCTTACCTCTTGGTCCAATTAATTGGCCGTAGATTCGTACATCGCACAAAGATCCTACAAATTCGTCCACTTTCGTCTTTCTAATCTCGACGAATGAACCAACCGTTGAGGATGGACAAGTGAAACATTTGTAATCGTTTATATCCAACGCCTTGTCAACACTCTGACCTCCGATTGTACTGCAAATATTCTCATCTCCAGAAACAGGTCTATTCGTAGCAATAATTTTGAAATTTTTCAAATCAGTATCTGCACAGGGGAAAAAACAACGGGTCATCATTTAACAAATGAAACAAAACTACCAGTTTATTTACAATAGCTATCGCCTCTATTCAATAAACATATACGAGTTATATCATAAGTGTTTTTTAAATCAACAATCCACCAGCCATAGTTCAAGCTATCTTGTCCAGTATAGGCGCATTCAAACTGCCCGTTTAAATTACCAAGCGCAATTATATCATCAACAGCTTTATACGGCCAAAGTGGTCCTTTGTTTGGAGGAGAATTGATGGAACTCTGAAAAGATGGAGCGTTTCTTACCAAATTTCCAACTTCTGTTGACCTGATTACGAATAATTCTAGAAAAACAAAAAGAAACAAAAAGAAGGTGATGGTACAGCTAAAGAAATGTTCATTACAAACAAGTAAAAACACAAACCTAAAAGATTAATTAAGATAAGAAAGATTGCAGCCATATTATCAGCAAATGCAAATTTAAAGAGATTTCTGAAAATTGTAATGCTTTTATATAATTTGTAAAATCATTTATTGATTATAGTAGATCAATAAAGGAATGCAGTGCGTATCAACTCTCAATATTTCCTTTTTATAGTAAAACTGCTCAGCTGATCAATGGCAAATAGATTATACAATGTAAAAACATACCTTGTATCTCCGTCATTCGAAGAATATATTGAAGAATGCACTTGTCAATATGGGAGGAAAACAACAGGTAAACGATGCTATATATAAAGAACAATCAACAAAATCACGCGTAGGTGACAATATCGTTTTACAATATCTGCATATTTAGTATATTCACTGTAGAAAGAAGAATTGAATAAGATGCAAAGGAAATAATACGTATTGCCACATCTATGTAAACTTGTTACATATCGTACATATGAAAATAGTCATCCACCTAAACGTCTCGCTATTCTTATGCCAAGTGTTGAAAGTACGTAACTTATATTAAATAGATAGAATACAGGTAGTACTTACTTTGTAACAGATAATAGAAGCTGATGTTGCCTCCACGGTAGAGAAAACAAAACTACAAAAAACAGTCCAATTTATGTGACAGAGATCAAATATTACATAATCTATGTGTATATGAGTTTTTTTTACAAATGACATGATAAAAGAACAAATAGAAAATAAAAGAAAACTTAACACTTAAGATAGGAAAAGCTTTACGGATATATTATGTAATACTGATTTGAAAATTAATGGTTTCAGTTGATTTAAGGGTCACTTTTTGATAGATTTACAGTCTATTTCAAAAATTCTTTTAACAGGCACCTCTTTCAGCATTGCATTCGTATGTAAAAGAATTGATTCCATCAATACAACTGGCTCGATTCATCCGGCATGGATTAGAATCACATTTATTTTCCTTCATCTTTAGGGTTAGGTTTGTAAAGGTCTTTTTTTTGACAAAGTTAAAAAAGAGAAACAGAAGTCTCGCATCTCAACAGTCCCAATCGATTTTGGGAAGCAGTCAAAGAAGGAATACGCCAAAATCGAAGTTTAAAACAATTTCCATTAGAACTGCTGTGAGGTTGTAGGTAAGTACTGGTCCAAATAGAACAGAATTATGAGTAAGCCACTTAGAAGAGATGTAGAATTGATAGAAGAAGTAAACCCTTAAGGGTCATTGTTACATCATGTTTATGTAAATAAACTCTTGCTGTTGTTCTCCTAATCACTTAAGGGTGAAAATTTTTTTCAAGGTGCACCACTGATTTCTCACTAGCACGGTAGATATGGAAATACACAACTATGTATAGATTTCATTAAATTGGACGTTAAAGCTGTACTTTGGAATTCGAAGAGTTTTGTTCTCATCCCAGCTGAGTTTGTCCATCATTCACCTAATCACACACCAACCTAGTGGTTCAAAAGGAATCTCAATTTTGTTCACCAGTATTCTCAGATGAATGAAATTTGTTCAATGTTTTACTTCAAACATTGAGCAGAATGCCAATATTTTACCAAATAGATTTTGTATTGAGTATTCTGAGCTTCTAATTCCAAGCAAGCTGTTAGAAAGTATAGATATCGGAAGGGTGATGATAATGAGAAATACTGACACTATGAACTGGATCAACCGTGCGAGAACATTTTGCCTTTAGTTTAAATTGGGCGATGGTACTCGGAGTTTTAACCTCCGCACGCTTGTTGAGCCAATCGAACGTTGAATTTGGAATAATAGTGGATAAACATTTTGCTGTGGATATAATACATTTTTTGTTGTGTATTTGGGTCTACTTCTTGTGAACCTAAGAAAATTCCTGTTACTTGTTGATCTCTGTCTTCATAAATTTTCTCCAAAAAGGTCTAAATTCATTATATTAGATCGTGAATCTTGTCTTTCCTTTTTTAGGATAAGAAACCTTTGCAAATAGAAGAGATGTGATTAATTTACATTTACTCTTAGCTGTATTAATAAAACTGCAATTCATCAACTAACAATCAAACTAGTACAGTTCTAGTGGATAACACTCTACTTAGACTGGAAGTGGTAATATTGTAAGTAATGTAATTATTAGTAGAGGGATTGCATAAATTGAGGTTAGTGAGAAAGCATTGAATAGGTTATGGGGTAAGATACATTATGTCTAAAGGGATGATGATGATGATGATGGTGGTGATATTTCAAGCATTGACAAAATAATCACGTGGAACAATTTTTCAATTTAATTCAAAGCAGTTGTCTGCTCAATCTCTCTTCTGTAGTTGAATGAACTGAACGTATCTCTCATACCTATAGAGGGCACCTTCTTCAAGATTAAGACTAATATCATGAGAACTGATGGTGAATCAAACAAGCATTCTCTGAGAAAGATCCATCTTAAGAAGTGATAAAGAGTTTCATCAGAACTGCACTGGTCAAAGTTTTCAACTTTTCCTCCATAAAATGATGTATAATAAATCATTAATGAAACAGTATAGATTTTAGATACAAGGGAAAAAATAATATATTTTATCCATTGTTTAGATATTACAAGCCACAGTAGATTTGCTGCATTTGGAATTCTGAACGCTTTGCAGAAATTCACCAATAAGAAATTCAAATAATAGTAGAAGTGAATATTATCAAATGGTATATAGTCCATTCCATATCTGTTGTAAGGCGTATCAACGCAAACTGGTAGTGTTGAATTAACTGTTGAATTTTTATCAACTTGAATAAGTTGATTAGTGCCATTCTGTAGATTATAATTAAGAATTTCGGCAAAGTTTATAGGCCAAATTTCAACATGAATTAAAATCTCCGAGACAAATGATAAGAAGAGAGCAACAACTGTTAATAGATTGCTGTCTTTTAAATTTTTAAACACGACATAATAGTACACTTTTAAAAATAAGAGAAAAATATCAATGGAGTCGGTGAAGTAGAGAGGAAGAGTAAAGATTAGGTAACTGTAGTTGTGGCACAAGTCGAAACCCAGGTTTGGAGGATAGAATAGAAACATATAATTCACAATCAAATAAACTCTATACGATGAATAGATACTAATTGCTGTAATTTGCCTCGTGTTTATAGATAATGGTTTCAGAATCAGGAAAAGTACAGGAGCCAGTGCTGACACTAAGTTCTTGGCGTTCAACCAATTTATCCTGTCAATCAATCAATCAATCAATTAACCAATCATTTTATAATATTTCTTTTTACCTAGAATTGAAAAATAGATAATTTCGAAACACTTGAACAGTTTATTATTGTAACCATATTTCTTGCACATTGTTTCCATCAACTGTGAAATCTTCCAGAAAATATTCACGATTCTCTATATTAGACGTCTTTACAACCGGTTTACATGATCATATTGCAGCATACGAAAAAATTATATTACAAACCTATTCCAACAACCTCTAGCAGTTAGAGGACACTGTATAAGCAGTCCGTCGGAAGGCTTTTTGTTTTAGCTTACTATTTAGTCAGGGTTAATCCTAACCCATTTTTAAATCAGTATTACATGATATATATCCGTAAAGCGTTTCGTGTAAACAATTCTTATGTTAAGTGTTCAGTTTTCTTTCATTTTGTAAACAAACTGATAAAAATTCTCTACTCAGAAGATATAAGCGATTTTAATATAATAAAAACACCAATAAACAAAAATAATGATGAACAACAGCAACAACCCAATTTACTATATTTTTTCCAAAATGTAGATGGCGTTACATTTTCAACTTTTCTTCCATCTCCCATATTACTTGCGTAATTAAAAGTAACAACTGGTTCTCTAGCATCAATACTCCTAACGACTTGATACTGTTCAGAATAAAGAGAGAAAATACTTTCAATCGTATCTTTCCTAAAGCTATTCATCATTCAGAAAATGTGCACAAATATACTCTTTTACCTCTTCCCTTCCCTTGAAAACACCCTTACCCTGACCTAAAATTTATCCAAATACATATCAGCAGCCATCTTATCCTTCTGACCATTTTCAACCCAAAATCTAGCTTCGAGATATCTCATTTGTGGACATTTCTGTCGACATCTTTGTTTTTGTTACCTCACACATCTCATTTTGGACAACTTCTCCCATCAATCTAAGAAGACAGACTACTACTCTTTGTCACTGGAGAGATGCAGTTTTGCATACGAGCGTGTATAGCTATTAATTTTCCAGTAGATAAACAGATTCCTTGTAGAGAATTGAGGCGCAAAATATTTTCTACCAGTTTTTTTTACTTAGAATTTGCAGTTTTCTTATGATATATTTGTTTTAACCATACTTAAGTATTGATTACCTAAAGTACAATAACAGAATATCAGGATTTAAGAATTTCGACAGTTGTGTATTTATAAATATTGAAATAATAAATATCGTTTGTTGGTCTAACAAACGAAACTAAACTCTTCTGCTTCAATGTGTTGCTTAATTATAACATTTGATAACGAGCGATAATGAAGTAAATATGAATAAAATCAAAATTAGTTAATTTCTTTAAAAAAAAACAAAATAGACTAGATTTTTGAAACAAAATCGCATACTTTTGAGAAAAGAATTGTATGATTAGATGGAAATTAGGAGAAAAATGTTGAATGCAAAAAAGTACATTGCATATATTTTCTAATCCATTTCCCATTTTTTGATTTCCACCTAAATCTAATTTGTCTCATAAGATGATGGACGAGTAAGACGTAAAATAGACGGTGCAAAAATTGTCACGTGATCGTAGATAAATCTTGTGATAAACAAGGACAGTGCAGGATAAACCTGTCATAGTCATTCCTGACCTTATGACTATCGAGTCCAACATGATGGGTTCAGAAGCAATTCAAGAATCGAGCTTTTAGGCTATCAAACCACGACAAAAGCATAATATCACAAATGATAACAGCTGCTCCTTGGAGGAGAGTTACAGACGAGTTAACTCGGTTAACGTGGATACTTCAATGAAAATCTTAATGGAAAACAAAAGAATTTTGAATGTTTCATCCTCAATGGTAGACTACTTGAATTTCCCTTGTCAATTTATTACAATTCAATAAATTCACCGATACTGATGGATTATTGGGTTCGTCAAGTTTCCACTTTAATTACTTCTCGCATTTGTTTGTCAGGCGGGTTTCTTACCTATTCAAACATTTGTAGTTGAATACAAATTGACCGAATAAGCCTTTAACGGACGTATACGGCCATACGACGTTACAAGCACCGGTTCTCGTCCGATCACCGAAGTTAAATGACGTACGGCTCAGTGAGTACTTGGATGGGAGACCGCCTGGGAACACTGGGTGCCGTATTGTTTTGCCCCGATTGTTTAGTCTCTACTTGTTGCTGGATAGAGAATTACTAAGTTTGTTTTGAAGAGAAATTGGCAAGAAAAACAGTAAAAGATTTACTTTTATTCACTTATAATTCAGTACTGCTTTTTGTGCATACTGATAAGTTGGCAACATGTTAGAATACTGACATTAAGGTCAGGGACAATAGTATTTTTAAAGCCGATTAGTTGGTTTGTGAAGTTAGATGAAAAACTGCTCTTTTCTTGCCAGTTGTGACTAATTCTCCCAAATCGAACGTCTTCTCCTCGTCCAAGTCTTTCATGGCTGCCTGTTGCTCTTTAAAGGAATCGCTAAGGTGTAAATTTCTCGTTTCGTTTAGACAAAAACAGACGAAAGCTAGCATTAAAACGAATAGTACAAAAATCACTAGAAACGGTCCAATAGGGAATTTTTGAAAGATAATTAGAAGAAGAGGAGCGGAAATACTGCCCGTACAGCCGAACATACTGCCAAGGGCGACTGCGGACGATCTAACAACCGTTGGAAAGGTTTCTGCCGTATAGATTCTAAGAACGTACATGGCTGCAACAGTGCAACCTTTGGCTATAAGACCCCCAATAAAGAGTAAAATTTTCAAATTTTTAGGCTTTTCTAAAGCGTTAAGCACCAAGATTATCAAAATTCCTATGGCGGCCTGTACGGTGTAGAAGAACAACGAATTCTTTCTTCCCGTCAGACGGTTTGCTGCGATAACGGACAACATTGCGGGCCAATCAACGCATCCAATTAAGAATAGACTTAGGTATTTGTTATTGATGAGGTCGTGCGGAAAATTGTAAGATATTACGTAATATGTACAATTGACAGTGTACCAGCTTAATCCGATGACGGCCGTCTTTTTGAAATTTTTTCTCATCCAAAGTTTCATGCAGGAGACGCGTTTATCATCTCGTACAGTAATTTGTTTAATTATATTCAAATCGGGACAACTGCGGCCATTCTTCTTGGCAATTTTCTCGAGTATTTCGTGAGCTTCGCTATATCTTTCCTTCTGTAGGAGCCACCTTGGACTTTCGGGTACAAAGAACCAGCCAAAAAAGAATGGAATGCTAGTTGAACAGGAAACAATAAGAAGAGTTTGCCATTTTCTAAAAAAATAGCCCATTGGAGCTAGGAGCATTTGTCCAATAGCCCAAAATCCAAACGTTCCTGTTAGACTTCTATACTGTTTTGATACAATTTCCAATGGATATCTTAAAAATAGAAGGAAGGAAGAGAAGAGGATATGAAGAGGGAAGATTGCACTCTATAATATACATTCCTACTTACACAGAACTAATTACTTGTAATCCTCCAAAACCAATTCCTGTTTTAATACACTATAGACTATAATACAATCTATTATTATTAAGACAAACCAGTAAGTAAACGACAAACGGCGTAATAATACCAATTTGGAACAAAAGCAGAAATAAGACATGGTAGCACCAGTAGTAAATTGCCAAAGAAGTAAGTGTGTCTCCTTCCTGCTGAATCGCTTAGCTGACCAAAAATTGCCGCTCCAAGGAAAAAGCCAGTCATTTGTATAGTATTGATTACATTAGGTATCCACTCTTTATCGCAAACAAGTTGCCACTGTAAAAGGGGAAAAGGTTAATATTAAGTTTTTGTTGTTTGTTTCTTTGTTTGCTTGCTTCTTTCTTACAGTTGTAACAATGGATGATATTTCCTCATGAAATATTTGGGAAGAATTCGTTCCATTTGTAAAGTTTGACGGTGAGCATGACCAATTTGGAGGAGCAGCAGCTACAAGAAGTGGAGAAAAGACTATAAATGCACCAAACAAATCGGCCATTTGTATAAACACGAAACAAATCTTTTGATACAGGCCGAATCCTCCAACTGTGTTCATAACATCTTCATAAGTTCTGATTGGAAGTAAGCTCATCTTTAAGATTGATCTCTACCTATAGCTCATAAGAAATTGATAGTTAGTTAGCCAGATTGATTAGATAATCATTTCAATTCTTTGACAAACAAAGTGAAAATTCTTAAAGATTTTACCTTTCTTTAAATCTGTACCTAAACTCCCTGGCCAAATTTCAGAAGTGCACAACCAATACAGCTCTAGAGTTGATTGTTTATACATATATATACATATATACATATGTATATATAAACAACAATGATGTCCAATAAATCTCATAGTTTGTATTTGTTTAAATAGCAAGTAAGTGGTACTAAACCCAGAATAATGCACAATAGGCCTAAACCGATAAAAAAACTTATAAGGTGTGACAAACTATTGTTTTGTTGTTTATTTTTACAATGAAATACGCTTTTTTCAATGATAAAAAGCCAGAAATATCAAGTTGGGAATGGATTTCAATTACATCAGTATCTAACTATATAAATAAGGAAATACTGCATCATTTATACTTTGTTTAATGGAGATATGTGATATGGACTTGGCCTGGCTATTCTCCCTGAAAATCATTTGAAATGACAAATGTAAATCTTTTTCATTCTCTTCCTTCTTTCTTTTATTCATTTCAAACTGCCAGCTGTAATATCCAATACAATTGTCCATTAAAATATTGTCTTTTAAACATACCCAATTTGATTGTTGTTCACCAAACAATAGCAAGTGTTATGGATAGAATTCAGTCTTTATGGTTTGTCAAGGAAACTGTTCTTCTTCTCCTGCCACCACTCATAACTATTCATATCATATAAAAATCAAGTGTTTAGTTCTATTCAACTATTTGTAATAACCGAAAAGCGACTTTCTATTTGAAGAACTGCAAATGAATGATTGCAGAGCGGAGAGTATATTTATGCTGTAAAATCTATAAATGACACACGTTTGCAACAATACTGGATTGTTTATACATAATAAGAAAGAAATCCGTAGTCGGAATAGTCATACTAGATTTAAGTTGTGGTAATATTTCAAAATTGCCAAATTGACATTGCTTTAAAGCATGCGAATAAATCATACTTTCGCATTTGTCGTCTTCCATACAACAATTAAAACATTCTAATAAATCCATGTTCATCTTCGTTAAATAAACGAATACATTGTCTATCAACTTTTTATTATATTCCAGATGATAATTAACTGTTTGGTTTGTAAACAAAATATTCAAATAACTATTAAATTAGAATACAAGCGAAGTGGGCAAATTACCTTTTACATCGTTCACAATACCGTGGCTTAAAATGTAATAGTAACAGGCTTTCAAAGCCAGAACAGTACTAGTGATCCTTACGTATTTAGAAATTAATTCATTTTCGCAGTAAAACGTAAATTTCGTTGGTTTTGATATCTTAATAACACCGAAAAAAGTCACACAAACCATATTATTTTCTGATTTTGCAGTGCCTATTCTCAATCCATCCGAAAAATCACTTGTTTCATTTAACAGGAATCCAACTGCAATGAATTTATGATAAACTGCCAATTGAATAAAATGATCTTTAGTTGAGTAGCTACAAATCCAGTTATCATACAATTCTAATTGGTTATTAGAATATCCAATTGTGGAGTTTACAATCTCAACAAAGTCTGAAGAAGATGGAATAGTAAAAATACAAGGAAAAAAAGTGATAAAAGGGAAATACGACCGTCCAATTTGTATTCTTCTCCTTCACCAAATACAAAAACTTCACATATTTGTATTTGTTCATTGCCGCCTATTTTATAGAACGATACTCGATCACCAATCAAACTACAGTTGTATGTCACGTGCTCCAATTCTGTTCCATTTTCTCGACTGCAAAACTGTCTATGATCATTCATTACAGAATTCTCAATGGAGATTTGAATGTCGTTGAATGTTTCTGTGTTGAAAACAGTAAAACGTGTTAAAAGAGGAGGGAAACAGGCGATTAAATGCTGAAAGAAAAGCTACTTTGAACGAGTGGAAGGAGAAGAACAATTTGATGAATGAGATAATTATTATCGAGATAAACTGTAAATCTTCCTTCAGTATTTTCTTTGAAACTTCCTGTACAAGAGAAATATGGTTTGGCGCCAATGAAATTTGACGAAAGACGATCGATTGCCTTAAGAGGATAAAGATTTTCGGAAATCATATCCGAAAATCCGGCACTTTGTGAATTTCTATCAGCCTTAATTATTGGTAAAAGAGAGAAATGTTTATCAACAATCTCTTCTCCATACGCTTCCACCTCGAAAACATTCAAATATTGTCCTTGTCCCAAAACGAAGAAGACTGCATAACGTCCAACCGGAAGTGGTTGTTTGCAATTCCATATTCTATATTCGCCCCTCAAAAAGTGTTTGTCGTTGTTGAAACACAATTGAGAATGATAAGACCAGTTGGTGATGGGAAAGTCTTTCTTTTCAGATATGACACCTTGAATGTTTTGTGATCGTGATTGCACTGAAAAGCATGGGATGTTAATGAGTAGAAAATATGAAAGTTGAAAATTGAAAAACTACGATTGTTTCCAATATTCAAAATGGCCATTTGAAATATTTTATATTTTCCAAGTAGATCAATTCTTGCCCATGGATTATCTTGAGCTTTTGAAAGAAATTTTGTTAAATAATTTGCATCAGTAAGAGTGGAGGCTGATGACGAAAGTTGCGAATAGGAAGATGACCAAGTTGGCTTTTGTGATAAAAGGTTGGTTTCATTGTTACTTAGTCGTTTCAACAACTTTCCAACAATTTCAATTTCAAGTATCCGAAATGGTGTGGCTAGATTGTCATATTTGCGAAAATGAACAAATTCACCCTTAACTCCACCTTCGGGACACATATATGCACTGAACAAGTTTGAAGTTAAAGTAGTGTTATCTTTTTTAGCACAAAATGTATAAGTGATTGATTGATTAGTGGAAAAAGGATTTATGTCCGATAATTCCATTATAAAATCTTTAAAAGTGTTAAGAGATGAGGGTCGAATATCAATAGCATAAACGTTGTAATAACCAAGGAGGTTTATAGTCAACTTATTGCCGCCTCCTAGGTATGTTACTTCGGAAAGAGCCTGATTTCCATCAACGAAAGATTGTATATTGTAGTCGGCATACGACGAATAGACTGGCTTCTTATGAGCAATATTTTCTATAGAGGTCATGATTAAACACATACATTTGAGTTGTTTGGAGAAAATAAGCGTTGTTTGTTTGTTTTTACCTGAATAGATTTCTATTTCGCAAAGCTGCAAATCAGTTTGTAACTTTTGTTGAATGACTACCTTGGAATATCTTCTTAACTTTAAATTGCGACAATATATTATCGTTTCAGTGTCATTTTTCATTTGAATATCGTCCGCGCAAACATTATATGAATCCGGAATGTAGATTGCAAGTAGTTGATTGGCTAGAAGAACGTTTTCTTTCATTATCTTATGAATAAGAATTTGTATATAAACCTTTTTGATTTGTTGGCCAAATGATGAGTTTCTTAACAAGATGATATCCGGAGAGCTCAATCTCCAGTTTGGGTTTTATCGTGTTAGTAGGTTTTAATATTACACAACCTCCTAGCGTAATGTCGCTGTTTGTGAAACCGTCTATTGCGTGAGTTGGATGATATAGATAACTTTCGAATTGTCCAGAATAGGAAATTTTTCTACGGAAAGCGATATTAACGTAGTCGTGAACTGTTTCGTCGTAACAGATCAGCCTATAATATTCGTTATCTGAATTTTTGTTTAATTTAATCTTTGCGTAATGAAATAATTCCTTTGCATATTGTTGAAACTCATCAATAGACATTAAACTTTGAGCAGGGGTAGGCTGGAATTGCTTAGAGTAGCAACCTTGCTGACTCCATAAGAGGGAATAACATTCCGGTGTTGGTGGTATGATATTGGAATTAAAACCGCAAACACCTTTTTGCTTATCTAAATCCGAGTAGAGATTGTTGTATAGAAAAGGAATTGATGTGTATTGGTTTATTTAATAATTGAAGAGAAGAAAAGATACCTTTTCTAATGATGAGTAAGGTCGATGAATCATCTCCAATTGGAAATTTGATGATTGAATGGAGTCTACAGTATAAACTGCTATTTCTAAATGAAATCATAAACCCAACACATTTTTGAAATTCAACTTGTAAACATTTGTCATAGCATTCTCCGACTGATGAAACATTTTTTTCGTTCGAATTCACGGAAATAGACATTTTGTTTCTGAACAAGATTAGCTTATCTCCTGAGTAGTTAATATAATATTATAGGTAGTTTATCGCTATCTGATGTTCACTTACTGTCTTGACAAACTTTTTTTTCATTTGTTAAAATACATTTGCAACTACCGAAAAGACATTTTTCAAAGCTGGAACAATCTTCTTGACTTGTGCATTCTGTTTGTACTGTTTGTGTGTGTGAGAGAGAGAGTGACCGGAAGGATATAAGCAAATTCTATACTTCATTTATTCAATGAAAAGTTTGCAACTAAGATTGCTGAATTTCATTTTATATGCTTTCTTTTCAATGTAAAAGAATGAAATTTCATTTACGAACCTGCGTATCCAGAGCTTATCAGATGAGAAATGATAATTGTTTGTATCCAAAATTGCATTGTTGTTGGGTTGTTATTTCTTAGAAGAATAACTACAGCTACATTAGGTTATGATCAAAAGCAGTACGTTCTATTATATTTAAAATTGCGATTTGTAAATATTTAATTATCTCTACAAAATGGAATAATACACCTTTTCCCGCCCAATTCATACGAAGATAAACAAGTTTTTAAAGGGAACAAAACAAAAAGAAAACGATTTTTAATGAATGCTTCGCTAATTATTGCTATAGTTTCCTGGCAACAAGTCAATATTAATTATGGCTTATCGATTTATAAATTGAATAAAATTCAAAAGAATACTTATTCGTAATTGAATCTTTTCGGCTACGACTAATGAAAAAATGATTGATTGCTGATGTCAGGGTTAGGAGAATGGAGGGAAGTGGAAAAGTCAGAAAAGGGCGTAAGCGGGCAATTTTCTTTTGTAGACAAACCGGATAATCATGAATTGCGTGAAATTCAAATCAATATATAATGGATCTCTGTGCAAAGAACGTGGAATGATGAATGATTGAATGAAGGAATGTGTATGTATAAGTAAAAAAAATGATTCATTAACGCAGTCGTCTCTTTGGCACTTTTCCATCTTAAATTCAAAGCAGGAAGTTATATAATAAAGATCGAGATGACAAACTACTTCGATTAAACAGTTAATTTAGCTAACTCGAACACGCAACAAGTAAGAAGTATATGTTAAAAATGTATATTACGTAATGTATTGGAGAGAAAAGATGATCAGTGTTACATTAATATATTTCACACATATCCGTAATGTCGTCACTCTTCCTGTAGGCAATTAGAGAAGATTCGACAGATGGTGAGATTACATATGGTTTTAATGACGGTAAAATTGAGAATAAACTTAATTTGCATATTCTAGCCAATTTTGAATAAAATATGCTTTCGCATTCGCTATCTTCCATGCAATATTTATAACAATTCAGAAAATCAACGTTCACTTTTGACGAATAAATGAATTGAGCATCTATCAAATTATTCTTATATTCCAAATGGTAATTCACTGTTAGTGTTGTTTATAAAGAAAATATATTAAATAAAACAATCAACTGGTGTGGAAAATAGTGAAATACCTTTTACATCGACGACAATATTCCAGCTTAGAGCGTAGTAATTACAAGCTTTGAAAGAGCCAACTGCACTAGTTATTCTCAAATACTTACCTGTCAATGAACGATTGCAGAAAAAAGTAAACGCCGTCGGTTTAGAAATTTTAAGGATATTGAAAAATTTTAGGCAATTCAATTCTTGGTCTAAAAATAGAACTGATATTCTTAAACCTTGTGAAAAATCAACTGTTTCAATTAAAGTAAATCCAACAGCTTTACATTTTAAATAAATTGGTAATTGAATGAAATGATCAGCAGCCCAATAACTACATATTGAATTTCCATACAATTTTAAATCATTTATTGAATATCCAAAAGTCGAGTTTATAATCTCACCAAAATCTGCAACCAATCAGTCAATTATTAAACATATATTCATCCAAAAAAAACACAAAAAAACCAACATCTATAATTCACTTTCTCCTCTTCACCAAATACAAAAACTTCACATATTTGTATTTGTTCATTGCCGCCTATTTTATAGAACGATACTCGATCACCAATCAAACTACAGTTGTATGTCACGTGCTCCAATTCTGTTCCATTTTCTCGACTGCAAAACTGTCTATGATCATTCATTACAGAATTCTCAATGGAGATTTGAATGTCGTTGAATGTTTCTGTGTTGAAAACAGTAAAACGTGTTAAAAGAGGAGGGAAACAGGCGATTAAATGCAGAAAGAAAAGCTACTTTGAACGAGTGGAAGGAGAAGAACAATTTGATGAATGAGATAATTATTATCGAGATAAACTGTAAATCTTCCTTCAGTATTTTCTTTGAAACTTCCTGTACAAGAGAAATATGGTTTGGCGCCAATGAAATTTGACGAAAGACGATCGATTGCCTTAAGAGGATAAAGATTTTCGGAAATCATATCCGAAAATCCGGCACTTTGTGAATTTCTATCAGCCTTAATTATTGGTAAAAGAGAGAAATGTTTATCAACAATCTCTTCTCCATACGCCTCCACCTCGAAAACATTCAAATATTGTCCTTGTCCCGAAACGAAGAAGACTGCATAACGTCCAACCGGAAGTGGTTGTTTGCAATTCCATATTCTATATTCGCCGCTCAAAAAGTGTTTGTTGTTGTTGAAACACAATTGAGAATGATTAGACCAGTTGGTGATGGGAAAGTCTTTCTTTTCAGATATGACTCCTTGAATGTTTTGTGATCGGGATTGCCCTGAAAAGGATAAGAACATAATGAGTAGAAAATATGAAAGTTGAAAATAGAATAACTACAATTGTTTCCAATATTCAAAATGGCCATTTTGAATATTTTATATTTTCCAAGTAAATCAATTCTTGCCCATGGATTATCTTCCATGGCTGAGCGAAATACTGTTTCATAATTTGCATCAGTAAGAGTGGAGGCTGATGACGAAAGTTGCGAATAGGAAGATGACCAAGTTGGCTTGTGTGATAAAAGGTTGGTTTCATTGTTACTTAGTCGTTTCAACAACTTTCCAACAATTTCAATTTCAAGTATGTTGAAAGAATTGACAAGGTTGTCATCTTTGTAAAAGTGGACAAATTGACCTTTAACTCCTCCTTTGGGGCAAATAAATGAAGTGAAAAAGTTTGAAGTTAAAATAGTGCTATCTTTTTCAGCACAAAATGTATAAGTGATTGATTGATTAGGGGAAAAAGGATTTATGTCCGATAATTCCATTATAAAATCTTTAAAAGTGTCAAGAGAAGTAGATGAGGGTTTAATATCAATAGCATAAACGTTGTAATAACCAAGGAGGTTTATGGCCATGGAATAGCCATCTCCTATTCTTAAGGCATTATAATAAGTTTGCCCTCCATCTACGAAAGATTGTATACTGTAGTCGGCATACGACGAATAGACTGGCTTCTTATGAGCAATATTTTCTATAGAGGTCATGATTAAACACATACATTTGAGTTGTTTGGAGAAAATAAGCGTTGTTTGTTTGTTTTTACCTGAATAGATTTCTATTTCGCAAAGCTGCAAATCAGTTTGTAACTTTTGTTGAATGACTACCTTGGAATATCTTCTTAACTTTAAATTGCGACAATATATTATCGTTTCAGTGTCATTTTTCATTTGAATATCGTCCGCGCAAACATTATATGAATCCGGAATGTAGATTGCAAGTAGTTGATTGGCTAGAAGAACGTTTTCTTTCATTATCTTATGAATAAGAATTTGTATATAAACCTTTTTGATTTGTTGGCCAAATGATGAGTTTCTTAACAAGATGATATCCGGAGAGCTCAATCTCCAGTTTGGATTTTATCGTGTTAGTAGGTTTTAATATTACACAACCTCCTAGCGTAATGTCGCTGTTTGTGAAACCGTCTATTGCGTGAGTTGGATGATATAGATAACTTTCGAATTGTCCAGAATAGGAAATTTTTCTACGGAAAGCAATGTTAATGTAATCGTGAACTGTTTTGTCGTAACAGATCAGCCTATAATATTCGTTATCTGAATTTTTGTCAAATTTGGCGGCTGCGAGGTTAAATGATGTCTTTGCGAATTTTTCAAATTCATCAATAGACATTGAACTTTGATTAGGGGTAGGCTGAAATGGCTTAGAATTGCAACCATTTTGATTCCATAAGAGGGAATAACATTCCGGTGTTGGTGGAATAATACTGGAATTTTGACCGCATACTCCCAGCTTCTTATCTATATAGTAAGAGGAATAGAGAGGGAGAGAGGAAAGATTGCTAAAGGAAATACTGTATAATGGCATATGTTTCACCTTTTCTTAGGATGAGTAGAGAGGTGTTTTTAGGTAAAAGCGGAAAAATTACTGTATTGTATATTGCGCATTGGATAGTATTATTATCCTCTAGGACATGAACGCCAACACATTCGTTAATGTCAGACTTTAAGCATTCGTCGTAACATTTTCCAATTGATGTAACTGTTTTCCAAGGTGTTCCTATAAGTTTTGCTTGTTTATTTTCCAGAAATATTAACTTTCCACCTGGTTGAAGTAGAAACGTTTTGTAGTTAACAAAATATAGAATACACTGGTTTTTGTATTGTTTGCTGTCGCTTACTGTCTTGGCAAACGTTTTGTGCGTTTTCCAGAGTACATTTGCATTTTCCATCTACACACTCTTCAAGTATTGAACAAGATTTCTGACTTGTACATTCTTTCTCTATTGGAAAAGACATAATGATGGTCTTAGACTACAATCTCGGAAAATATCTATCGCATTGAAAACTCGGTTTTGTATCAAACGTCTAGACGTTTTTCTCATTCTACTCTTTTCTTTTTCTTTACGAACCTTTATATCCAGAAGCTATTATGAAGGAAATAAGTATTGCCTGTATCCGTAAGTACATAATTCTAACTTGGAGAACTCCAATGACAAACTACAATTTTTAATTTTCTATTTGAAAAGGAGCTTATTAACTAATCTTAACTTCTCTCTTTAAATAATTCACAATCCTTTCAATAGACGAATGAATATCGTATTCATTCTAATTTCCTTTCTATTTAGTGTCATAAAACGAAGCAGAAAGTAATTTTCAATCATTGTCTTTACGTTTCCAAGCAACGAAACAAAAGTAATAAATGGCAATAAAGAGATAATTTGTTGAGTTGAGTTTTACCATTTAGTAAACTGTTCAAGTCCCGTTAAATATCATATACAAGTATAAATGCTTAATTAGACGGGTGAATCCTCATTAACAAAAGTAACCAATTTGTACACAGGAATAGTACATACTTGTTCATTAGAGGAAAGAGGAAATGACGGAGAGAAAAACAGAGAGAGACAGAGAAGAGTTAAAAAATTAAAAACTGTGACAAACTCTTACTTAGTTGTTTTCTTCTTATAATGAAATAAGCAATTTTCAATGACTATTCACGAAAATATATCTTTACCCAACTAGTTAAACACGGAAGTATTTATTTTATTAAACTTTGTTTAATAGAGATATGTGATATGGACTCGGTCTGGCTATTCTAAAATCATTTGAAATGACAAATGTAAATCTTTTTCATTCTCTTCCTTCTTTCTTTTATTCATTTCAAACTGCCAGCTATAATATCCAATTCAATTGTCGCAACATCTTCAATTTGATTGTTCTTCACCAAACAATACCAAGTGTCATGCATTGAATTCAATCTTTATGGTTTGTCGGAGGAAACTGTTCTTCTTCTCCTGCCACCACTCATAACTATTCATATCATATAAAAATCAAGTGTTTAGTTCTATTCAACTATTTGTAATAACCGAAAAGCGACTTTCTATTTGAAGAACTGCAAATGAATGATTGCAGAGCGGAGAGTATATTTATGCTGTAAAATCTATAAATGACACACGTTTGCAACAATACTGGATTGTTTATACATAATAAGAAAGAAATCCGTAGTCGGAATAGTCATACTAGATTTAAGTTGTGGTAATATTTCAAAATTGCCAAATTGACATTGCTTTAAAGCATGCGAATAAATCATACTTTCGCATTTGTCGTCTTCCATACAACAATTAAAACATTCTAATAAATCCATGTTCATCTTCGTTAAATAAACGAATACATTGTCTATCAACTTTTTATTATATTCCAGATGATAATTAACTGTTTGGTTTGTAAACAAAATATTCAAATAACTATTAAATTAAAATACAAGCGAATTTCGCAATTACCTTTTACATCGTTTACAATACTGCGGCTTAAAATGTAATAGTAACAGGCTTTCAAAGCCAGAACAGTACTAGTGATCCTTACGTATTTAGAAATTAATTCATTTTCGCAGTAAAACGTAAATTTCGTTGGTTTTGATATCTTAATAACACCGAAAAAAGTCACACAAACCATATTATTTTCTGATTTTGCAGTGCCTATTCTCAATCCATCCGAAAAATCACTTGTTTCATTTAACAGGAATCCAACTGCAATGAATTTATGATAAACTGCCAATTGAATAAAATGATCTTTAGTTGAGTAGCTACAAATCCAGTTATCATACAATTCTAATTGGTTATTAGAATATCCAATTGTGGAGTTTACAATCTCAACAAAGTCTGAAGAAGATGGAATAGTAAAAATACAAGGAAACAAAGTGATAAAAGGGAAATACGACCGTCCAATTTGTATTCTTCTCCTTCACCAAATACAAAAACTTCACATATTTGTATTTGTTCATTGCCGCCTATTTTATAGAACGATACTCGATCACCAATCAAACTACAGTTGTAT